TAGGTTGCGGGTAAGCACTATTCGTGCTCGACCCGACCCATTGTTATCTCTAATAACGTGAAGGAGAATAAAAATCACAAGGAACCATCACTCCAACCTATATTCGCATTCTCAAATTTGTGTGGTTCTTACTGAAGGACTTACCGAAGGCTTTTACCCTTCGGTAATTACCGAAGCCGAAGACTTATGCCCTTCGGTAGTTACCAAGACTTCTGCTCTTCGGTAGTTACCGAAGTCTTCTTCCCTTAGACCGTCGCACCAGTACAATAATAAAAAAAGACACCAGTTAGTTTTCCTTATAGGCATCGGTTGTAGAACCGATGCATACATGGACGAGGTAAAAAGGACACGTTTTATGCATCGGTCAGATGTCGAGATAAAACAGTACAAAATTATGCCTCAGTTATCTAAGAACCGAGGCAGTATATTTTTTTTTTCTCAGATTTTAGTACACAATGGAACCGTGCTCTTCAGATCCAAAAATCAATTTTCATGTCACAGAGAATTCCCATTGTCGTTGATTGGTCATGTGTAAACCTTCAACCCGAGAAGTGGCTCTGACGGCTGAGTGGTGCAAGTGAAATTGTTTTTCAGCAACAAGAAAATCCCAAAACCAGAAAATCCAAAACCAGAAAATCCAAAACCAGAAAATCCCAAAACTGAAAATCCAAAACCAGATATGAAGAAGAAGCAGAAGAACAAGAGTAGATTTGATGACAAGCAGAAGAACCAAGAAGCTCCCTTAGGGTTTCCAATCACTCGCGGAGGGGAAGAATGGCTGAGGCAGCAGCGACGACGGAGGACTTGCCGATCTGGAGCGGCTTAGCGATCTGGAGCGGTAGATCTGGAGCGGTGGATCCGGAGCAGTGGATCTAGAGCGGCGGATCTGCAGCGGCGGTCGTCTGGACTATGCACGGCAATGGGAAGAATGGGCGAGCACAGAGGGGAAGGGAGAGCACCGAGAAAGAAGAAGTTGTTCGAGTGTGAAAATGAAAAGGTTCAGAGTATAGGTAGTAAGTGTATAGGCAGCGGTCGTCTGGGTAACCCGAGGCAATCGCGCTTTTTCAAAAAAGTTGTATCCTCGCGGGACAAATGTATAGGTCTCGGGTCCGCTTCTAACCGAGACAATATTACCATTCGACCTCGGGTCAAGCTGTAACCAAGGCATATAGTCTTTTACGCTTCGGGTTTTGCGTAACCGAAGCGTATATGACGCGTTAGTTTCCCGTTTTTTTACTAGTGTCGGTAATTGTTAACGACAAACGATTTATCGACGGCAAAAAGATTGTCGCTAATTCGTTGATAATATCCACTACCGACGACTTTTTAACTATTTCCGACGGACTAGGACCTTCGGTAATGCCCTCCTTTTTGATAGAGTGGGGAAGAAAGATGTTGATGGCATTCCTAATTGCAAGAGAAGCGATGTGAGCATGGCCTACCTAATATCCTACGTGGTGAGCTCGATCGATGATAAAAGACAACAGCGAATAACAACAAAGGGTAGCATTGATGGGTTGTGAGGGAGAAAATGAAGAAATATTTTTTTCTTCATCTTTAACGAAACCCGATTATATATTCTGTGAATGCGAGATTTGGATAGAAAATTTATCGTCGATTTTATCAACAAATTTTTCAACAAATTATTTATTAATAATACATATATTGCATCGACAAACTGAAAAAAAAATATGTCAATAAAACTAATGTATACGATTTTAATCAAAATTGATGTTACATATTGACTACAAATATTAATTGAGATAAGATTATGTTTTAATTAATTTAAGTCTTAAATATATTGCAAATTAATATTATTTCTATCCGAGGTAGAATATCCAATAGTTCTAAATGGTTGACATATATGTATGATACAATTCAAATTAATGTATATCTTTACTATTCATATTATTCTAATTGAACAGTGTAATGCAGAAAGTATTCTGGTGATGAGAGATGATTTTTTGAGGTGTAAAGACGTAGTATGGAATCTTCGTTTTAATTAAAGGGCTAGCTAAGAGATACATGGTGCAAGGTTTAAGAAAGGAGACCTTGCCTTCGCTGTAAATGAAAAATAAAGCAAAAGCATTATAATCATATAACTATATATATATATATATATATATATATTAATCAAGTGAAATATATAATTAGTTAATATAATGTGATGTTATATGTGATAACAAAACCAAATGAAAAATACAATTCTACATTTGATGGTCCTTAATTACGCAAAGGAACTAAGAAAATGCATGGTGATTATATTCCCAGAATCAAAGATTGATATTCAGAAGATCATGATTGCACGTGGATGGAGACATGGATTTGCATGCATATTCTTAGGGTTCCTTGACCTAATACATATATACCGGGAAAGATAGGATCTATGATAAATTTCCCTTTGCATTTAAATAAAAAAAGAAAATGAATTATAAGAAAAAAAAGAAAAGGAAGAAGACAAGAAGAATCGATGGGTGTAGATAGATGGTTAATTTTAGACCAAGCTAAAGGATCACTCGAAAGATTGTGCCAACTTTTATGTAAACTTTTCTTGACGTATAATGTTACATAAAGGCAAAGGTGTGTGCATAGGAAAACCACTTATCTATCAAGAAAGTAGTGATAACAATAGGACTTTAGACTGGAGAGCCGCATTAAATTTTGAGCTTACCTTTAGTTGACTCTAACAGCTTACTCTCAATTTCTCACAAGAATCTCACTGTTCCACGCTTAAACCCTACCCCCATAACCTCATGTTTTAATGTCTTCATAAACTTAGTCTCAAATCTCAAATTCTTCATTTTAATCAATGCAAGTTTTAGTTTAGCAAATACCCAAGTGTCTCTTTCAAAAAATCTATTTTCGTCTTTCTCTTATGAATCTATAAATTATGTAATGTATACTTTAGGAAGTAAAATATGTTTTTAGTCTCTTAACTTTTAATAAAAATTAAAATTAGTTTTTTTTTAAAAATTTGGATTAATTTAGTCTTTCATCTTTATAATGATGTGAATTTAGTTCTTTTAGTTAAATTTTATTAAGTTTATTTGATGTTTTAAATATGTTATTAAACTAATATTGAAGAAAATGTATCAAATAGTATAAGAAACTCAAATGTTATCATAAAATGTGATTGAAATGTCAAATAAACTTAACAAAATTTAGTTAGAAGAAATAAATCAACACATTTCTAGAGTTTTGAAAGACTAAAATGGTCCAAAATTAAAAAAAAGAACTAATTTCAATTTTCACCGAAAATTAAAAATAAAAAAATATATTTAACTTGATTTTATCTTTAGTCAATATGAAATTATCAATAAATTTATATGGAAGGTCACCAAAACTGTTTTTGTTAGCAACTTCAAAGCATTTGCCTTTTAATTTTCATACCAAATGAATCTTAATGAAGCATAAAATGAAACAGAGCATGTTATCAAACATGAAAATTGTATCCCCTTGATTGAAAAACTTGAGTGACGAAAAACTTTACAAGGGTATTGTGGTTGGATAAATTAGTTAGTAACTTAGTACTGATCGAGCAATAACTTCTTTTGATGGAGGAAACATGGTTCAATGATGAGGGACAGAGGTTTTACATGTAAATGACAACAATTATCTTTTTCTGCTTTTATGATTGGCAAATAAAAGGAAAATGCATGCACGAAGTCACATGTACATCAAAAGAGAGATGAAAATGAGTGCCAGCATGTTGCTGTTTTCAATAATGTATAATATTAAACCATGTTTAAGTGTGTGTATTTCTAAAGCAAAGCAAAGCAAATTGGTCAGTAGATTCCCATTCCCTACTTATTTACAAAAGAAGGCTTTAACACTTTAGACAAACCAATACATCAAGATTCTCTCACAGATATATATATATATCAATTCAGCTTTTATATCCAATGAAGGAACTGCATCTTTTCTCATTCTGCTTCATTGTTTCAGTTTATGCAGCATTTTCTTCTGTGCTAAAGATAAAAAAGCAAACACCTATTCAATCCAAGGTTTTTAATTTTATATAGTTAATTAATTATGATCTTGAACTTGTGAAGAGAAAAAATGGAATTGGAAAGAAAAACTTCACCGTAAATTATCATTTAATCCACTAAAATCGATAAGTATTTTATGATAGTACATTTGAAGAAAAACACACCTTTAACAGTTTTTGTCATAGCTAAATCAGCCAATTATACCACATTCTTGTATTTTAGTTACATTAATGCAAATCAATTGCTAACAATCACTGAAAAACTTAACTTTCTAAAATCTTAATGTATAAACTTGATAAAAAAAAAGTGTAAATAAATAAATAAATAAAGATAAACAACAGTTTTTTGCTTAACATTTTTTTTCCCTTTTGTCAAACTCTATTGACTCCTTTACGTGTACTGTTCCTTTGTTTATTATGGGCCGTGGTTACAAAATTTTGCTATTGTTGGATCTATTAATATTAAGGCTTTTTCTTCTTGCACCATACCATCGCTGTTGCTCCTACAGCTTCCACTGTCATTGTGCCACCGTTGCTGTAGAAAAGGAAGAAGAGAGAAATAATGAATTGCATAAAAAAGCACGTTCCAGAAAGCTTATTTCAAAATGCATTTAATGTGTTTTGGAACCTTGTTCTAGAAATTTTGTTCTTGAATGTATCCTATATGTGTATACTAAGTTCAATAGTTCCACGTCCTCTAAGAATCGAGGTCTAAAATGTTTTAAATATTTTTTTTCTTTCATTTTTTGTGTTTTTTAAAAATAAAATTATGAAATTTCAAAATGGATAATCCCTAAGAGGAAAACAACATATATTACATTAAGAACTAATCGAATTAGAAGCAGAGTCAATTCGTAGAGATTTTTTTTTATCAAAAATAATACTTTTGTAAAGGTAGGGGTGAAATTAGAAAAATGGGTGTGAGAATAGGAAAGCCCTTATGTAACAAAGCAAGAGGAAAACTAAAAGCCCAAACCTGGTATTGGTTCGATTCAACTTCCTCTCTGTAGTGTGGTTCACTTATTTCGTTCCAAGCAAGAGGCTCTTGGATCCTGGGCAATTAGGTGAGAACACGATTGAAAGAACTTTTCTTAATAAATATATTGCTTATCTTTATATTTTTTTAGCATTTAATTGTTATTTTTTTCTGCTTATAATATCACACTGAATTTGTTTTTGGACATAGGTTAATTCATTATTTAGCTCTAAAATGATATATATATTTCCCTTTGGAAATTATTTGGATGAAGCTTGATAGTGGATGAGTTTGTGAACAAGAAAAGCATGGCTTCTTCAACCAAGATGTAAATGTTAGTCATAGTGAAAACAAAGTTGAAGAGGACGCTGTAGTTATCTCTTAAATAATCCACACACAAAAAAGGAAAAAAAAAATACTGTCACAAACAATCCCATGAGATTTGTTTTTGATGAAATGGTAGGTTTTAGGATAGCATGTTCATGAGTTATTACTTCATATATGATCAGTCTAAGGAGACTTTGTTGGCGGTCTGAAGAGCTTCTTGGTTGAAGAGGCCAACAAGTTGTTTGACATAATGTCTGAAAGAGTTGCACCAAATATGTGTATATTTTCTGAACTATATGAAAGTGAGACAGTGATCCAATGGGGTTCCTTTTAAATTCATTTACCGTTGTTTCTCCATACCTGGTACCTCTGAAAATGGTGTTATGGTATTGCTCAAAGAAGCACGGGCGCTTGAATACTGGATTGTATCAAGTATCTGCCCAACACGTGCAGCTGTACTAATTTGTGGGATAGATTTCGAAAAGAATAAAAAGAAATTGATAAATGAAACTATGGAAAACATGCAGTATCCCTGGTACGACCTCATTTGTTTCTCCTCTCTTGGGCATTGTCTTCATTCAGCAGTTCCTATAGCTGATACTTAGTCTATACTAAGTTTATTTTATGTTCTGTATAATGCTTCTAGTTTTGTATCTGAAACCCACCTATTAGTGTTCGGATACTTAGTTTGGTGTGGCCTTACAGTCATTAAAAAATGTGAATTCTCTTTTCAAATTTAAATTTTAGTCTTTTTGACTCATTCCCATGTAGCTCTTCGTGCTCAATTGCATCTTTGGCATTTTGAAAGAAATGAGTGTTTGCAGTGCGCTAGTGTTTGATGAGTGTAAAGTTATTGGCTGTTCTATGACAATATCTTAATTATTTATTTTCATATGTTCTTTGCTGTTATTAGAATTGAAGCTAAAACTGGGTATATTGAATCTTGGACTTTCAGTATAATGGTGGAATTTTAAGGGGTATGAAAGGAAGACATGTCAAGGATATGTAGTGATTATTGGTTTAACCAAACAAATGAGTATCTACAATATCAGTGATTATTTGCTCGATGAATAATATATCCGTCAATCTGATTATGTGATCATAGAAATAGAACTGCTGCTTGAACAAAATTTATTTACTCAAAGTGCTTCCAGTATGGCAACTTTTGTATTTGTTTTAGATGTGTGTTTTCCAGATGGTAAATTTTTCTTCAGAAAATCTATTGAGTTTTTTCATGTGTTGTTATTTGAAGTTTACTAGTTCTTTTCTTTTTCATCAACTTTTTTTGTCGTATGTATACGTTTAAGATGCTACACCTACACTTGGTTTATGTTTCACTACTTGTTATGTTTATGATATTTCCTATTGCTCAATATTTCCAATTCATATGTGATATTAGAAACAGTCCAGTCAAGTCCAATATTGCTTTAGATTGAGACAAACGACAGTGATTCGTTTGTAGTTTGGAAAGTTGCAAACCCTTGCTCTTCTAACCATTGCCCAAACCATGGTTTACCGTTTCCCAAACTAATTGAAAACCATGGTTGTACTTCATTGAGAACTTAATGTTTAGACCAACACTATGACTTACTTGTGTTTCTTACATTATAATCTTCTCAATGTCTATCTTTATGTAGCATTTGAATTATATGATTTATTTAAAAAACAACAGACAGGATGGGATCATGAAACAGAGCAGGTTGGATGTCTATTTCTGTAGTAACCTAAGTGCTCATATAATTCAAATCACGTGTAATGAAAAAGGCAAAATCCCATTTTCTAGTTTCATTGAAATTATCACATGACAATGTTATCCATATTAAATTCATCATGTTACATTATTCTACTCAATTGATAATTCTGCATATATTTTCCGTATCTTTTCAATTCTTGATATAATGATTTTTGTGATAGCCTGAAAAATAATAGTTTACATTTATCAACTTTCCTAGGGTGGCGTTTTTCCTGTGAGTGTGACTTTACTGATCATTGATATAAGAAAGACCAATGGCACATTCATCAAGCTTGGTCGCTATGGGCCTCAGTTTTGGTCCAATTCTGAAAACCAAAGTCAGTGTTTCTGGAAGTCTTGTTCGCAGATCTTCAGTAGGACTTCGCATTCGGGCGGTGCAAGAAAATGGTGGACCACGAAGGCTGGTGGACATCATAAGACGTGTGCCGGAGTTCTCAAGAAATTACTTCAGAAGTCCTTCTCGCAGGGCTCTGTTTGGTGGAATCTCCTTGTTGGGTGGATTCTATGTTGCACAAACAATCTCACTGTCTTTTGGAGCTCTAGGAGTGAATGATGTTATTGCTGCAGTGTTATGTGTTCTTCTTACAGAATATGTGACTAAATTCTATTACAGCCGACCAAAAGTTACTTTCCCAGTTGCTCTTCTCAACAACTTTAAAATGGGTTTCACCTATGGACTATTCATTGATGCCTTTAAGCTTGCCAGTTGATTTTCAACATCAATACAACTACTCAAGATTGAAACCTTGATACATAGCAGGCTCTCCAAAAGTTGGTTTGGTTCTGTTTAACCACTATGCTTGTACGTGTCAGAACTGGTCACCACATAAAATCCAACATGTCATGATACGTTGTACCTGGTCACACTCCAAAGTTGGTTTGCTTTTGGTAAATGTCAAACCCTTGTAAATGTTAGAATTGGTCCTATAGTCATCCTTACATTTCTTGTAAATCAACCCACATATCAATTATTTTTCCCTAATATTTCTTCCAATTCCTTTATAATTTGTGAGGCTATTCTGTCTTTTCACTATCTGTTCCTGTTATGTTCTAAATATATGTACCTCTGTATATCTGTGCCTGACAATGTTAGATTGATGAGCCTATGATCACATTCTGGTTACATTTTTTTGGCGGACCTTGACGATAAAAGACTTCATAGGGAAGATGACTCTAGATAAATGGTATCCCATGTGATGGATAAAATATAGATTTATTACGGTTTCATTATATCCATTGTTAATCTAAATCCAATTTTTCAAAGTTTTTATTTCTGTTTTACACTTTACTACCCTACCATTCTATGGAAAATCTACATTCCTGGCTCTATTATGTTGCTGAAATAGTTGCAAAGTAGTAGTTATTGATGCACTTATAGCAAAAAACCAAAATTGTGACAACACTAATACATAAACGTAGATAGTGGAGATGTTTGGTCATCAAACCCATCAAAGTCTGAGACAAAAAACAAACTGTTTGATTTTATAGGCATGATGTTCCTGGTTTGTTGATATCATCTTTATGAATGTTAGGTGACAGTATTAAAGCTCTGGATATTTAGTCCTTATCAATGTCTTCCGAGGAATCTTCTAAACTGGGGGTCCCAAAACAAATTGAGTTGACTATCTTCATTGCTTTGGGAAAAGAGGCTAAATAATTTAGTAGAATATGCATATAGGAGTAGGTATTATTCCTTTTTGTTGAATATTTATATTCTTCTACTTTCTATCGTTACTTTACTACTTTAACTTGATAAATCAATAAAAGATACTAGTTTAAAAATAATTACAAAATTTCATTCTTGGATGATGTGATTTGTTTTTTGCTGTGTTTATCTTTTAAATATTTCCTACAGATTATATTGGCTAAAGTAGATTATTTAAGAACTGATACACTCTTAAGTTAGAAGAGTATCCTACCATATCTAAAATTTTTCATGAAAATATACTTTTATCACTTAATATATTTATCTTTAAATGTTATCATTCCAAATTACATATATTTATTTAATTTGACCAAAGTTTTATGTTATAAAGTTCAACATCTGGTTTTTCGATTTATTGGTGGATATTTTCAAATGTTAAGTTATGTATTAGTAATGTCTTCATGCAAATTTTGTCATAACTTGTATTAGGTATGATTTATTATTTTAACAAATAAACTTATTTTACTTTCAAAAAGGATAAAATTTTACTTTAAAGAAAATAAAATTCCGTTTCACTCGTAAATTTCATTAACATAACATTAAAAGTATTCAATCACTGTTAAAAGATTCCGAATATAATACTAAAAATAACTTAGCAAAAGCCTTTAGTCATTCAAACATAAGTCATAATTGAACGAAATTAAACATAATCATAATTAAATTTAAGTTGTATATCATCACTGTAAACTTACTCCTTCTTGAATCTAAGTTGTATAATATGATTATGGAAAGATGTTACTTGACACTATCATTTGACAAATTTTATAAAGATAAAAGGGTTTTAATAAAAATTATATTTTTGTATGTTTAAAGAGAAAAAAAGTGAAAGATAATAAGAAATAATGTCAAATGATGATAAAAAAAATTCTGGTGTTAAAATCACATTCCCCTTTATTCTGATATGATTTTATTTACATGGATTGTTAAATTGATATTATATGTGTGTGTTGCATTAACATGTTATCATATTTTAAAATATATTCTTTATTTTAATGTACATATATTATATATTATTTATACTGTAACTTAACTTTTGAATTTTAATTTTATTGCATATATTTAATTATAATTTTTAGCAGTCTTTTACAGAGACATCTCTACTATAAAATATGTGTAGATAAGTAAAACCAATCTTTAACCTTTTTTTCTTTGAAAACAAAAAACAAATACAAAAACTCCCCACCTTTTCCTTCTTTTTTTTTATCATTATACTTCATTTGAATAAAAAATAGATTTGCAGACTAATAAAACATTATTATAAAAACAAATAATAACACAATTTATAAGAAATTAAAAAATTTACGGGAAAAATAGAAATTCATTTTTAAATGAAAAAAAAAACCATTAGATAACTAAAAATACAAAATATTATTAGAAAAGAATTTAATGACATACTCACAAATAAAACAAAATAATATGTTGTATATAAATATAATTATAAAATTATCATTATTTGTAATCATTGACATTTTCTTAATCCAAAAGAATAGTAAATCAAATTTAAATTTTATTATTAAATCAGTTAAACTTAATGACCTTATTTCTCCAACTTTGTTCAATAAATTATAAAGTATTACATGTGTGGATTAAAATATTGTTAAAATTGTCCTTGCCCAACTCAGTTGAATAGTTTTAAAGGATGATATCATCATTATATTTCCAACTTTGTTAAAAAAAATTATAAAATATTGAATTACAATGTTGTTAATTGTCCTTATCCAACAACCCAGATGAATATATTTTTCAAAAGCAAGGATGATGTCATCCTTATTTATTAATCCTATTTCTCCAACTTTGTTCAATAAAATAAAAAAATATCCTTAAATCCTACCAAGGTATGAAATTTTACTAATGACTAACAACAATATCCTTAAATCCTACCAAGGTATGAAATTTTACTAATGACTAACAACAATTTCAAAGTCAAACTAACTCAAATTTACTATGAAATTCTATACTTTTCTTTCCTTAATTGAGAAAAAAGAGTGTAGTGATGGCCTGAAGTTATGTAGGCTCAAGTCTTGGAAGTTTTATTAACTTATTTTGAGACACTGAATTTTGAGAGTTGTTTTCCTTATTCGAAAAGCTTTCGATTTTATTTATTTATGAAATGGATTTAGGTGTATTGAAATATGATCATTGTTGAGGGTTGGAGTTATGTTTCCTAGGAATTTAAATTATAAAGAGTTTTCACATGCATAGGTTCATTTGCATGATGTGATGATTTTTATTAATTCATCACTGCATCTTGTCTGTCTATCTATCTCTTTCTATATATATATATATATATATATATATATATATATATATATATATATATATATATATATATATATATATATATATATTATTCTTTGATATTATATATACTAATATAAATTTTATGTGTTCACATTTTTAAATATTTGAATTTTATTATAAGTTAATAATATATATAAATTGATTAAAATAATATATAAGAGAAAAATAATAAAAACAGCAAGAAAGACATTAATGTTAGCGAAAAAAATTACAAATATATATTAAAAAAATATATGTAATAGTTTTATACAAAATATTTAAAATAATTGTTATTTCTACAAAATCAGCTAACAATTATATTTTTTAAAATCTATTAATAGTTATATTATAAAGATTAAAATGAGAATATATACAAATTGTGTATTCAAAAAGATATATACTCCTTAATATCGGTATAGATTTAATACGAGTATTTTTGAAAGAGTATTTTTTAAAAGATGTTAAATAAATAGTTTTTTTTAATATCCTTTATTATATAAATTCATATGTAGGAATGTATGTATTTTGTTTTTGTAATTTATTGGTGGAATGAATTATTTTGATTTGTTGTTGTAATGAATTATAATAAAGTTGTTTTTTATTAGAATAATATTTTTTAGTAATCTTGATATTATTTAGTGTGTAATAAATTATAATTACACTGTGTATGTTATTCTGATGAAAATATCCTTGAAGTGATTCACAGGTGATGTTATTTATTTTTATGATAAAGTAAAACTATTCAAATGTCCACTTGATCACTTAGGTGATAGAGTTACTCGTTCAAGAAATGTTTCATAGTTTGAGTACGGATAAAGTTAAATTGATTTTCTCTCTTCCACGAATTTAGGTGATCATACTTTTGCTAAAAAAGGAAATATCATATTAAATATTGTCCTCTAAAATATTAAAAATAATATTAAACATAATGGTCTCTTTTGTAACACACCTTTGATTGAATAAAACAAGAGTGATTTGCATTCATTTGCTTATTTTTTTAGATAGAATTTTGTCTTCTATTTGTATTTTAGGTTTTATTCCATATCATGTTGCTTTCCTGATGTACCTCGAAAGGAGCATCTTGTTGCTTGATTGTACTTGTTTACTATCTATATGTTATTATTGGACATTCATATTGCATTCCATATTGTTAAATTTGTCTAGGCCATAGCCCATCTTGAATTTATTGCAAGGCAAATATAACTCCATACTAAAAGTTTGACTACAGAGAAAAGAAATTTACTTTCAATTTCATGCTTAATGATGAGATTTGTGTTCTCTATCCAATCCTTAATGTATGGTTGATGTTATATTTTTATGAGACAAATTGAATGCATTGATTTATGCAAAGAATCCAATTTTAGTTGTGTCAAAGTATCTCATTTACATCTACTTTCCTTTGCTTAAACACTATATTATTATCCTTTGATCCCATACATTCTTTATAATTGCAATCCACACACCCTTCCCTAAGTTATCTCCTTTATTATTAAGGATCAACAAAGCAAAAAGATGGTAGTAGTATTTTAGTTGATTATGATGCATTGTTCTCACTTTTAGCTATTTGTTACACATATTTCAAATGTTTTGTTTATATAAGTTAGAAATAAATATTTATTGGTCTCTTCTTTCAACCCACACAATACATAGGATACATAACTTAATTTTACTCATCTCTTTCTAAGATTTGTCATTTTTGGTACCTTATTCATAATTTTCCTCCAAGCGAAAATTTGTGTTGAGAGAGTGATAATGTTAATTCTTATCATTATCTGAGCCTTATTTTATTGATAAAATCATCTATTCTATATCTTATAACTTACTTTAATCCTCACTTTTATCTTTCTTTTGTAAATACATTTATCTTGGGTTACAATTGTTAAATTATATCTTTAATCGCCTATTTTTTATTCTATTTTGGTGTTAGGAAGACCCTCTACCCAATCGAAGAAGCTTGGAAATCCAAATAAGCAAGAAGAACATCAAAAGGGGAGTTTTAGAAGCCCAAGGGAGTGCCACC